TACAGGGAGGTGGATAACTCTACTACACTTGACATTAACACAGAGATACGACTAAGTGGGTACAGGGAGGTGGATAACTCTACTACATTTGACATCATAACTATAAAGACTCAAAGCATCTTGTATATTTTTTTCTTGATACAAACTGCCATTCATTTTAGATTTCAGTGGATGAATAACTTACTATTTATTATTATTGATGCATTTAGACCTATACTTATCATTTACATGTTATGGTACCTTCCCTGTAAAATGTCAGTAAATCATTCATGACCTAGATGATGATGATGATGATGATGATGATGATCATCATCATCATCATCATCTTTGAAGTGGATCAACATGTGTTGAATTAAACCTGCTGAACATACATTATTGAATGCTACAAAAATCCATGTGAATGTTAAAGTGACAATTGCAAAATCATGATCTTTTTCTGGCATTTACAGTAGCACACAGGGATCTCAGTGGTATCAAGATTTGTGTTGGTGCTTGCCTCGTGATGGCTCACAGCAATGGTACCCATTAATAGATAGCGTTAAATTTTAAAACATTTTTGATTCTTTAATGTTTGTAAAGCGCTGTTGAACTAAAGGACTTAGCGCTATATGAAATATAATTTATTATTATTATTAATTAAAATGCTAATAAAATACACTTCAAAAGTAATCCACGCACAGTTATGATCCTACAAATTTCCGCCTCATTTATTCTCACCGTCAGCTATGCTTTACAAGTTCTTTTTCTCCYAGGTCTGTTAAATTGTGGAATAAACTCCCTAGTTCTCTGAAGCATGCTGAATCTGTCCCAAAATTTAAAGATTTTTCATCATTTTTCATCATTTTAGGAATAAAATAATAAATTCATACAGACCGCCTTAAGTTAGCGAGTTAATGATCTTGTACAGCATTACTATCTTTTTGCCTAACGTACAAGTGTTCCATCGTTTTCGTTAATTATTATTTATTCAAATATTACTTATTCCATTAGTATATGTAATAGGACTCCATGCTGTCCAATCAAGAAATAATTGGACAGTTACCTATATGGGATTAATGAAAAGCTGTATAATAATAATWATTATTATTCTATCATCATCCATTCTTACCTATTTGTAGTTTATAAGGGGCTGAACAGCAATTGGGGTGTTGCCCTGTGTTAGAGTCTCTGTTATTTTCTATTGACGAAATATTAATAAACTAAAATAATACCCTATTCTACCTTTTGGTCTGTTTTTCTCTCTCCTTCGTTGTTCAGATTCATTGCAACATTGACCTATCTTTTATCCAAGGCAGTAAATGGTTGGTTTTGTCGTGTCTGAGTTTCATCTGAATCTCAGTATTTTAATGACTTTGTCAATCTTTTACAAATTGACTTACAAGTCCTACTTAGCTAACTTGTACTTATCACCAATTTTACAGCAAAGTAAACAACAAGAATTCATGATAAAAACTTGCATGCATGTAGACTGTGACTGAGAGTGAATGAATGAATGTGCTGTTTGCCAGTGCTAGCTATCCCTATAGCCTTTCCACCATGGTTAAACCTACCAGGAGTGCTGGACATATTTTCCAATCAGTTAATAAACCCCAAACAATTTCACTGTTTATTAAACAAGTAGAAAGTTTTTTAAATTACACTTTTTCTAGCTTGATTATTACAGCTGTTTAAGACAAAGCTTCTCTCTCTAGACTTGAACTTGGACATCAAACTAAGGTCTGGATCAAGACGTTTTGTCAAACAGACATAACATTTCAACATTGTAACATTTCACACAGTTTTGATTAAAAATATTACGAAATAACATTATGTCACTTGATAATGTCAGACAATTGTTAGCAAGAATAATGAACATCCAGACTCCAGATGGCTTAGCCTATAGGGGTCTCAGCTGAGCACTGTTGCCCGTAGGGTACCACTAGGAGGTCGCACACAATGCCCCACATGAATAAGAATACATTGTGAACGATCATGTGATGAATATGTATATGCATACCACTAGGAGGTCACACACAATGCCCCACATGAATAAGAATACATATTGTGAACAAACATGTGATGAATATGTATATGCATACCACTAGGAGGTCACACATAATGCCCCACATGAATAAGAATACATTGTGAACGATCATGTGATGAATATGTATATGCATGTCCACTAGGAGGTCACGCACAATGCCCCATATGAATAAGAATACATTGTGAACAATCATGTGATGAATATGTATATGCATACCACTAGGAGGTCACGCACAATGCCCCACATGAATAAGAATACATTGTGAACGATCATGTGATGAATATGTATATGCATACCACTAGGTCACACACAATGACCCGCATGAATAAGAATACATTGTAAACAATCATGTGATGAATATGTATATGTGTACCACTACCATTGTGAACGAATGTGTAAGTGCAATGTGATGAATGTGTATGTGTAAGTACAACATTATATGATTTCCCATTTATTTTAGGAACTTATGGTATGCTCTTAGGATAGTTGATAGCTTTTAATCATATGATGACTAGAAGGAGAATGAATTATACCGTTGGGAATTTGATTGAATCAAAAAATTGAAAAAATATCACATTTTTAGTTTTTTTTGGGAAAAGATTAGTTCATATCCAATAGGCAGGTTATAAATTAAAGCTTTGAAAGTCGTTAGAGTCATTAGAATAAACCTTAATGGTCTGGGACTTGAAGGGTTATTATCTCTGTAAACTGCTGCCACCTCTCCTGACAGATATTTGCTGTCTAAACCAGGATATATTATCATACCTGGGTATTTGTTGTGAATGTAGATCTGTGTTCATACTATCCATCTCAAACAGTTCTTCATCTTCATCAGACATGGACATGACACTTGGACTATTATAAAAGTTACACAAAAACAGTGTAATGTCATCCCTTTAAAAGAAAACCCTCAGGTGCATGATAGAGCTAGTGACAATATTTACCTTGATGCTTTACATGTAAAGAACAAGATCCTTTTCATCTTCTTGTTGTAAAAGAAGTAGTTGAAGGACCACAAGATGCCTTCCTCACCATATGGATCAGAATCCAGGTCTGGGTTGTAACTAAAAACAAGATAAAACATGTTAGGATGGTGTGGTGGTAAAACACTGGCCTCCAGACCTCTGTGGTACGGGGTTCAAATCCCAGCCATCCCATGTGAGCTTAGTTTGTTGGTTCACTTTCTGGGTTTTTCCAGCCCTCCTGCTTTTCCTCCCTCATATATGTGTATTAAGTTTGTTTGTGGTGTTGTTCTCTCCCTTGCCACGAGGCTTTTTTCCTGGATCTCCAGTTTCCTCCCTCTGTAAAAAGCAACATGTGAGTTGAGTGTTGTATGTTGTAAATATGAGAATATGTGGACCGCATAGCACTTATGAAATACATGAAAATATAGAAATATAGATAAGTTATAGTGCTTGGGAAYGAGGTTATTCCAGGCGAAAGCCCTTGGAATTAAATTCGGAAAAATTAATTTCCGACCTTGCTGGGAATCGAACCCACGACCAAGCACTATAACTTATCTATATTTCTGTTATAAATAAAGATTGTAGTGAAAGTGCGTATGCAGGGAACCTCACGGAAGAGCCCTGCATGGGGAGTAGTGGTTGTAAAATATATATATATAATATACATACCTGTATATATCACAGTCATTTAACTGTATTTCTTCATCAATAGCTGACCACATTGCTACTTTAAGTCCAGTGAAATTTTCCCCCATGCTAGCAGACAAATTTGCATTTATGTTATCTATAACAACTTGCAAACATGGCTCAAGGCTGAACTCCTCTGACTTGGCATTGCTGAAGTCATAATCAGGTTGGAATGAAGCATTAAGAGTAGATATCAGATGAAACAAGGTTTTTCTACTAATTGTATCACAAAGAGTTCCTTCTTCTTGACTTGTATTGCTGAGAGTTCGTTTTCTACTTGAATACAGAAATGGGTTGTTTGTAGTAGGCGAGGGGATTGTTGTTACTTGCACAGTTGGTGGTGAAAGAGCTTGAAGATCACTAGGAGAACTGCCTTCATTGAGTGTTTTGTACAATTTCTTGTCATTGCCAGCCATCTTACAGGAATAACTTTCAACCCTAAAAGTACCAATAAATAATAGACCTAATCAGTGTGACCTTCCATTGAGTACTATTTCTTAGTTCAATAAAATCACTGGTTAGGGTTAGGGTCTTCCCTGATTGGTCTTTAATTTCCAATGACAATTGTCATTGATCATCAACTGATTACAACTGGCAACACCAGTATTACATCACAACACAATAACAGAATGGCTATGAAGTATATAGTGTTGGGTCTTACTATACTTACTGCAATTTTAATTTACTTAAGTCGCAGAATATTGATAATCACAGTAAAACCCAGCAAATAGGGTTATAAGGATTAGGGCTTATAGAACCCACGAAAATAAATAGTATAAAGTAATGTCCACCTACTTTCCATCGACTACGATGTCACCATTGTTTCTTGATACAGCAGCACTAATCGTGTCTAACCGAGCGTTTTCAAGGAACTTCATTGTTTCACTTCAGCTTATTCTTCTTACTTTGCTTATATCTGTCAACTACTTACTTCGTACCAATAACAACAGATTTCCAAGCGCTTTCTCGCGATTCTTGTAMACTTTTTCTCGTTCAGTTAAAAGGCCAGGTGAAAGTGTTGGCTTGTATCCTCCTTATGATGTATATAGAAGATCAAGAGAACTAGACATCACTAATAACATAGCTTTGTTATTTCGCTTCACTTCAAACAAAACAACAAACGACTCCAACAAATTCATCAAGATTTTCGCGAATAAACCACATCAGAAATCCCGRTTTTCGCCACCTGCCCTTTGGGAATTAGTAATATTTTCCCAAATACTTTTTTGATCGCTTTCTTTGGCGATAAAACCGAGTTAAAAAAGGTTTTTTTTGACCACAATTTTTTGACAGAAATGGCGGAAAAAAATACGTATGAAGAATAATGACGTAATGGAGATGCATGATGGTATTACCACAGGAAACCCACAAAAGCCAAACTGATAGCGAAGTATAGCTAGCCCCCCAACATGACATGCACAAAGATAAACGATGAAATATTTTTATTTTTCAGAATAAATAAGGTTTTTGAAAATATCTTTATATTTACAAATCACATATTTTGATTTTGGGTAAAATTATACCCAAGTAGAAAATGAACAATTAATATATTATATAATATAAGAGCATTAAAAACACAATGGCTTCTTTAGAAAGAGTGCCTATATATTATCCTTGAAACAAAAACAATGTATGTATTGTCTTATATAATTATTGCAGCTAATCTATACRAAATAGTGGATATTGCTAAAAGCAGAACATTGGGAACATAAGCAAATGCCTCAAATCTGTTTGTTCACTCATCTGTTCATGCTATTATTTGACAACTAATCAATATTTGATAACAAAACACTTAATTAGTGCTACACTGCTGGTAACTAAATGATGCTTATCAGATTGTCTCGCGATTGAAGGCAATTATTGTGTAGAAATGACTGTGACGTTTGAACTGCAAGCTGCTAGTTAGCTGCAACGTCTATAATGCTTGGTTTGTAAGAAAACACTCTGGGCAGAGATGCAATAACACACAGCTGACCATCCATCTACACTCTCACCTGATGAAGACTACCAGTTTGCAGTTGAAACATTGCGTTATGTTTCTACGAAATGTGTAAATCCAGAAAATATCCATATCCCCACCAGGAGGGATTTTATAAAAGGACCCCTAGCCTTGTTACCCAATCTCCCCTGCCCCCAATTGCAAGGACCTTCCAGTTTTCTTCCATACAAACTCTACAAACTCTGTAATTTTATTCTTTCTCTGACCCACCTCCCCTCCAGAATTTTAAATTTCCATGGAACCAAGAACCGTGGTATTTCTGCCATTGTTGATAAGCAAACAGGAATTATCAAATTTTGAACAAAATTTAAAGAAAAGGAATCCAATTATGCAAAGGGTAGGGGGATTAAAAATTATAAACTACAGTAACTTCATAATTTCTGAAGCGTATCTTTTAGTCTCTTTTTTGCTTGAGTTTACAGCCATTTTCAATCACATGTGCCCTCCATAAGCGATTGTTTCTGTCACAACATATTAAAGAAGGTTTTGCAGGATGTCAATCACAAGGGGGGAACAGAAACAATCGCTAGAGCGGCACATGTGATTGAAAATGGCTGTAATAAAAATGCTCTCTTCTTTTCTTCTTTTTGTTTGTTATAAATTACATAGTCAAGACTACAAAAATACATGGCCATGGAGTAATTGATAATATATAAAATAATACTTCCAGTCTATGTAATATCAGATTCAATTTAACCTTGAGTTCTTTGTCCCTGAGGGCATAGCCCATCTTGAGAGGTTCATGCTTGTTGATGGTGAACCAGAACCATACCCTACAAACAATATATTTACACATGAAGCAAACATGTCTGAATTCACACGGTCACACACAATTTAAGGTGATTCCCTTGAAAAAGAAGGAAAAATGTCATCGGAACTGGAAAATTGAATGGAATTAGGTATGCTCTTGAGAGTCGTCCTGAGACCAAACCCTTCAGCTATTTTTCACCGATAAATATATACCTTTGGGAAATGTCATTTCTTCCCATATATCATAATTGTTATGTGTATGTTCTATGGTCTGTGAGTACKTAAATAATAATCATGCAAATCTCCTTCCCTTCTCTCCCCAGTCCCCCTCTCCTTCTTCTCCCCAGTGAAATTTAGATTTGAATAGAATTTTTACTTAGATATGAAATGGCTAAACTGGACAAGTTTTATGATTTTACTCCTATGCACAGAAAAAAGTGCAGTGGTTAACAAGGGAATTACCTTAAAAAATATTCTTACCACTTGTTAACTGTGACTTGTTGCTATGACAACCATCAGATATGGATTCACGAAACTGTTGCCTCTCTCTGTCCTATGAAAACAATAATGGACATTAATAAACTGCTTTTTCATCTTTTCATGGTGTAAAATTTACCCTTTTATCATTACTGTTTCATTAGAAACACCGACGCAGCTCACACTAGTCCTTAGCTAGTTATCTCTTCAAATATAAGCTGATTTTCGAGGATGGCCAATCACAAAAACAAATTTGGACAATATAGGATTAGTAGTGTTGTTTACTTCCAACAGTCAAATACTATAAATCATTATGGCATTTTTGTAATATTGGTGTGGTATTGTGGTAAAAAATACACACGTCTTACTCTTCGTTTCGTTTATTGATTGCGTTTGAGAGAGTTCCTAATAAAGGACAGATTACAATTTAATGATAAGGCAGAAAACGATTAAAGCAAACGGAAAGCAAAAGAAATAGGAAAAAATACTTACAAAACGATGTGTAACTAAAGACGGTCGACGTTGAACTGACAAATTACTAACTGAGCTTGAGTAAACTTAACTTAGTCTAAATTATGCGCATGTTTTAAGTCTGAAACAAAAGGCGAAAAAATGCACACGGGAAAACGTGTAAAATTCCAATCTAGCACTAACATGTAATGTAGGATAAGTTTACCTTGCCAGAATTTAGCTCTTGAATAGCTGACAGAATCTGTTGTCTTGCATCTCTTTGAGTTACTCCAAGTTCTTTCAAATCTACTTCTTTCAGAGTAAGAAATGCTTCCATATCAACCTGTATGCAAACCCAAAATGATTAAGCATATTAAACGATGCAGGTGCAATATAAACTATTGTTGTTGTTGTTGTTATTGTATACAAATGGCATCACAGGAAGGATATATGAAAGATACATATCATACCTCTTGTTCTTCAAACATAGAATTGTACTTTTCTAGTGAAAGCTTCTTTAAAATGTCTGTGACCTCTTCTACAAAAAATCAAGGATAATTGAAACAAATAAATGTTTGACCAGAGAATGAGATGGATTAGAGGTACATAAAAAAATGTGATTTGCCTCCCCCTCTCCTCCATCCCAAGTCCCCATCTCTCTCTCAGTGCTGTGTCGAGACTAAAGCCACTGACACAGAACCAAGCTGAACCATTATTATTAATAATTATGTACACATGGTTCCCTTGCCTTTCAACTCTGGGGCCGGTGGGACTCAGGCTGGACTCTAAGACAGTTTTTGTTATACTCCTTGGAGTTTTTCTCTATATTCCTGCTTTCCTCACTCATAGTAAAATTTAAACTCCAATTTGATCTGTGAGTTAGCTGTATCTTGATTTTGATCAGCCCAAAGGTTGTTGTTAGCCATCATGTGGTCTGACTTAGATTAACCCAGAGGATGTTTCAATGTTCAATCTGAGTTG